CCCAGGTGTGAGGTGCGGCCGGGACCCGAGTTCCTCACCCGATCCTACCTCTTCTACGCCAACCGCCTCTTCAAGGCCCACCAGTTCTACTACTGGGACTCCTCCTGCCGCGACCCCTCCTACTCCCTGGTCATCAAGGGCAAGCTCCGGCTGCGCCAGGCCTCCTGGATCACCCGCGGGGCCACCGAGGCCGACTACCACCTCCACAAGGTCGGCATCGTGTTCCACAGCCAGAAGGCCATGCGGGAGGTGGCCTCCCGGATCAACCAGACGTCGGCCGTGGGCTGCGGGGGCTTCCTGCCCCCAGGGCGCAGCTGGGCACCCGGGGCCCTCTACGAACTGCTGAGCGCCAAGGGGGAGCGCGACTGCACGGCCGCCCTGGGCTTCGCCATGCACGAGCTGAGCCTGGTGCGCGTGGAGACGCGGTTCCAGCCGCTGCCGCAGCCGCAGCAGAGCGGGAGCCGGCTGGTGGAGGAGCTGTACCTGGGGGACATCCACACCGACTGGGGCGAGCGGCTCCACTACCGGCCCACCGGCTACCAGCGGCCCATGCAGAGCGCCGTGGTAAGGACCATGCCCTCACGCGGTCGGGCCTGTGGGTTTTGCCAAGCGGGAGAGGTTCCAGGCTGTTAAAGGCTGCAGGGAAGGGGGGGTTCCCGGGGCGCTGCGAGGGGTCACTCCGTGCCTGGGAGACAGGGGAGCGCAGAGAAACCAACATCACCAACATCACCCACAAGCCGCATTGGTGCAGGCCGGGAGCAAATGGCTTTTCCTTGGCTGCCTTCTGCTGGGAAATGCCGTTTCCTACTTTCCTGCACCAAAGCCAGGGAAAGCTTCGGGCTGCGCATCGTTAGAGGCTGCCCGTTCTGTTCCTGTGTCTGCCCCTCCTCACTGTTGCTCTGCCTCGTGTCCTCCAGGCTGAGAGAGGAGCGAGGAACCAACCTCTGCCATTAAATCCCTGCTCCGCGGTGGAACGCCGTTAGAGGAGGAAGGTGCCCTGAGTAAAATTATGTTGTTAGCAGAAATCAGACTTTCCCTTTGACATAAAACTGAGCAGGAGACGTAGTTGCATTTTATTTTACTTTTTGCTTTATAATTTATTTTATTTTTTATTTTACTTTTTAAATTTTTATTTTATTTAATTTGCAGAGGGTAGTTTCCTAGTTTTCCTTTCCAGGAAAGCACATTTCTCTCTCAGTCACAGCTAATCAATTCAGAAATGATTGAGCGGTGAGATGGGGTGAAAAAACCGCTCTGAACTTGACCAGATAGAATTGAATTAACTGAAAACCCAATTTTTTGGGGGGCAACATTTCCCCACATCCCAAACTGCACCAACTGAACTCTGAAAGACACAGAGCAACACATTTCTCCCCCTCAAAAGTGATATTCTCAAACTGGTTAAACTTGTGTTATCTCGGGCCAAAACCATATATATGAGCAAAACCAGATGGTAAACATAAACACTTTTAAAAGTTAATTTAAAACCAAACCTAAAGATCCTGAAATTCACTCTCTGAATATAGCACTGTAATTAATCAGCTCACAGCTCTCCGATGGACCAGCACATGATGTCACCACTTGGCGATAATTAGAAGCTGCCATACATTAGAAATAACTTCACAGGACTGGTTTCACGAGTAAGATTTCTGGCTCCATGTCCAGAGTGATAATTTTATTGGGCACAGGATTTTTCTTTCTTTTTTTTTTTTTAAATTTTTATTTCCTGAACTAACATCCATTTGCTTGTGCTAGTGAGGGTTACACAGCTATGCTAGGAATTATTTTTTAACCCTCTTTATGAAAATATCGCTCTTTTTCCCTTAAATTTATATCTGTTTTAAAGAAACCCATTCTCCCAAATTACCTTTCATTATCAAAGAATTTCCTGTCTAAGGAGAGCACATACATTTGCCAACTTCTGGGATTATTTAGCCATAATGTACTGTGTACTGTCAGCACTCATTAAGGTGACAGTAGCAGTAAAGCAAGCTGAAAATGACTAAATTACAGTTGACTCCAATCAACTCGCATGTAAATTACCCACCCTACGGTTAACTACGGAGTTATTTAACCTTCTTGCGAGCGACAGTCCAGTGAAGATCAGTTTGTGTTCTAGAAAACCATGTAACGTTCAAACCCTGGTTATTTAAGAATAAACCAGTTGTGATCTGTGCAGTACAAGGAAACGTCCTAAAGCTGCACAGGCCCCTCCTGGCGCTGGGGGGGCTGCGGGGGCCATTGGACCCCCATCTTGGCACCAGGGGCAAGAGCACAGCCCTGGTTGGGCAGCGGGTCCCTCCATGGGGGTGCTGGGGCCGGTGGGCGGCCTGGCCTTGGCCGGGGGCCGCAGGACGTGTCGTGGTGCCGTCGGTGCGGGGTGGCAGAGCCACAAGAGCCTCCCCCCATGAAGGTTTCTCAGTCTGTCCGATGGCAGGGAAGGCTGCATCGGTTTCTCTGGGAGGGTGCAGAAACACGGAGGTGTGTCTGACCTCTCCCAGCACCCTCGTCCTCAGCCTCAGATCGCAGCGCAAAACGCAGGGGAGCACCTGGCTCTGCCCTTGCTCTGTCCCCTCCCCACAGCCCCTCCTTGGCGCTGGCACCGCGGGGCACAGACTCATGTCCTCCCTGGGGCACCAGAACAGCAAAGAGCCCAGCAGCGCTTCATCTCCCCCCATCTGCTCGGGCGTTTTGGGCCAAGCTCACTGCAGTTCAACACTGCAGGAGAAGGGCCTTTCAGCTTTTAAAATATTCTGAAAGGGTGTTTTGCCCATCAGTTTACAAAAATGTTATTTTCTGTTTTCTGCAGCACCACGTGCATCCCTGCCCCGCCTGTGGGATTATATACAGGGCAGACGAGCACCACCCCCCCGTCCTGCCCCCCCGCGCTCCCCTCCCCATGCGGCTCGGGGGCAGCTGGGTGAGCGCCCACTGCGAGGTCCGACCCGCCGTGCTCTTCCTCACCCGCTTCTTCACCTTCCACGGCAGCAACCACACCTGGGAAGGGTATTACTATCACTACTCCGACCCGCTCTGCAAACAGCCGACCTTCACCATCTACGCGTCGGGGCATTACACCCCAGGCGTCCCCTCCGCAAAAGTGCGGGGTGGCATGGAGCTGGCCTTCCGAGTCACACGGGCTCGGGTGACGCCGATGGACACGGTGACGGTGACGATGCTGAACTCCTCAGAACCGGGGAGCTGTGGGCTGACAGGTTCCTGGAGCGTGGGGGTGGAGCAGGACATAACCCCCACCAACGGGTGTCTGGCTCTGGGCATCAAGCTGCCCCACACGGAGTTTGAACTCTTCAGCACGGAGCAGGACGCGCAGGAGCGCCGGCTGCTCTACATCGGGGAGCGCCCCACCGACGGCTCCAGCCCCGACAGCCCTGACAAGCGACCCACCTCCTACCAGGCCCCCCTGGTCCAGTGCGCTGCAGCGCCGGAGGAGTTCTCTACATACCTTAGTCTGAAATACTTGGGAAAAAAGGATGTTAATGGGAATGAAGCACTAAAACCTTTGCCTGTGGCTTTTCTATTGTTTATAGCACTTCTGTTTTTAAGGTGGGACTAGGTATCTGTTCAGGTACAACACAGAATTCAGATAGTCTTGGTGCTAGCATGATTTTTGTATCCTTCAAATGAGCACATCTGGAATCAGTTTTACTCGGATTTGGAAACGCTTTTTAAAAACACCCAACAACGGTGAGCGAAGCCAAGAAGCTCTGCCTGACCACACACTGCTTGTCCTGTGGCTTCATTGCCTCATCTCCCCTCTTCGGTGCCTGCAAATCTGATGTAGTGACACGGATGCGCTGCACATTGCAACAGACAATTTAGCAATATGGGGGGGGGGGAACCACATCAATCACAAGTGCTGCTTTGAGCTTTTGGCATTGCTAAAATTTAATCAAAAGCTTGATTCAGATGTAATTCAACCATCCAAAGTGTTGGCTGCCGCGTGCCTGTGAGGTTACGTTCCCTCCCGTCACACTCCTTGTTGCTGTTCTTGCAAATTTAACGTGCGCGTCAGTCAGCAACACACACACAGTCAGCAACACACACACAGTCAGAAGTGCTCTGGATGCAGGCACAGCTCATCACGCCTTTCCCAGCTTGCAGACATTTTCTGCAGTTGCTGTGCATACACACACACACAACGATGCAACACACAGTCCTCCAGTAAAGTATGTACAAAAAGCAGCCCTTGCAGAGCGTTACCTGGACAGACAGTTACGCTTGGCCCCGCTGATGAGAGAAGATACAGTAAAAGGATTCTGTGCACAACTGCTCCGACCTCCAGTGTTACCCACCCGCAGGCACCGCATCCCAGCGCGTTATCCTGGGGTAAATGGAAAAGGATTCTGTGCACAACTGCTCCGACCTCCAGTGTTACCCACCCGCAGGCACCGCATCCCAGCGCGTTATCCTGGCTCTCCCAGCGCGGTGCTGGCCCGCACTCTGGTGCCTCAGAGCGTCCCTGTGTCCCCGCACACCTGGGGCATCAGGGAGAGGCTCCCGCTCACCACACGCCCAGCGAAGCAGAAGATCTCTTACAAGTCTTCTCAGACCACAAATTGTCACTGTCACCTTTTTCAGTGAGTGTCCTGGAGCACCAGTGGTTACTCCAGCTCCCCTTTCAATCAGAGCGTCCCTGCCAGCCCCACTCCTGTAAAGGTGGTTTATAAACCTGCCCCTCGTGAGCAACGGGCTGAGGAAATGCTCGAATCGGAGAGCACAGTCGGGTCAAGCTGATTTCTACTGACAAGAAGCACAAACTAAGAAATGACATTCCCTGTCTGCTGCAGCTAAGAAGCATGTAATTTACTTGGAGAAGACCTCCTCCCAGTAGCTAAACCCTCTCCGGATAAGCCTATATATCTTACACACAAAGGATATTTTGTTAAACCAGCTATGCAATAGCTATCTTCTTAATGCTGTATTTATGAACTTGCAGCTTGTACTCAGATAAATTATGGGGTTTATAACATAAAAATACTTTTGGGGAATCTGTACATTAACTAATAATTCAAATGAGATGCTTATTAAATGCATACAATTGTGACATAATTGTTGTCATCATGTTTGCACGCTTCAGGCATGATCAAATATCGATCACGCACGTAAACAGTTGTACTTCTAAGATGACAGACAAAAAGGCTAACCTTGGCTCCCTCTGCCATCAGTGGAGAAGACTTCTCCAGGGCTAGTTCAGCAGCCAAAACACCTCCCTGGTTCCGAGGGTCGTTGTGTTTCGTTGCCTGCTGCTGCGTGGAGATCCATGGGCAAATGTCTGAAGAACTGAAGTGCCTCCTGGGGACCACCGCGTCTGCTGTGGGATGTCTCTGTGGGGGGAGCCTGGGCTAGTGCAGCCCCAGCTCCCGTAGCCACGGGCACGGCAGGGCGTTTTCTGCAGCAGACACAGTTCCTGGCCCCGTGGCACAGCCGTGACCTGCTGCAGCCCAGAGAAAGGCTCCCACAACTCCCACCAGCAACGGTACGTGCTTCTGCAGGGCCCCAAGACAGCCAGAACAGGGACCAGCCTTGTGCTGCCTTCGGCGGGTGGGGGGAGGAGAGGGAAGGCAATTCCTGCTCTATATTTACCCCCAAGAATGAGATTTGTGTGCAGACACTTGTTTTTTTCATTTACGTAGTATGGAAACGTATTAAACTTAGCAAGTGCTCAGGCATCGCATGGTGTAAAAACTTCTCCAAGACCACGGATGCTGCCAGGGTGGTGATGGGACTAACAGGGAGTAAAAAGCCCCAAGATACCACATCTCACGGGGGTGCCCCTGGGAGAGCTCCCCCCACCCCGGCTCCAGCAGCACTGGGTGCTTGGACATGGATGGGGGTGACACTGACCCAGCCTCCCTGCGACACCCTTGCCAGGGTCTCTGCTTCCCCACTTCTGAGCACACTTCTGGAAGACAAAAAGCCATGAAAAAGGTATTTGCATAAATATTGTAACTTTTATTGTTCTGTTCACAGTTTTTTGGAGAAACATTCCTAAATTACACAGTTATTCTCTCTTCAGAATTTGTACTTTTTTTCAATTTGAATTCGCCTGGCTCCGATTGCCAGTCTGTGATTCCTATGTTGCTCTTTTTATCAGAAAGCTGCAGTCTTTAGTATCTTCTCCCCATTAAGGTACTTGTGCACTCTCTAATCAAGACATTCTCAACTCTGGTAGATAAACTCAGCCAACTGAGTTTTCTCTCTCACCGTCTCTAAGGCATTTTCACACTCCACCAGTAATTTTTGAGTCTTTTTTTGCATCCATTCCAATTACTCAGCTTCTCTTTTAAAATGTAAATATCCAACTGCATCCAAAATTCCCAGCTCTCACAGCTGAGACATACAGAAGTATAATCACTTACTGCTAATGGCAATTAAAAACAAGAACACATTCCTATTCATTAGTCTTTCACCCTAGGACTGCACTGGGAATGCACGGAGCTCTTATTCACTCTGGTCTTGGGTGTGGGCATTTTTTTGTGTTAACATTTTATCAGTAGTGATTTTCTATCTATTTTCACCAGTGACCTGGAACCCTGAATCATCTCGGCTCCCAGCAGAACCCTTCTAAGAGCATCCCCATTTCATTGCGATTCTCTGTGATCGACCTTCTAAAAGGTGTGCATGTCAGAAAACACCGAGTGCTGCAGGGGCCCAGACACACTCGGCTCACACTAATCCCAAAGACAACCCCAAACCAAAGACAGAATGAAATGAGGTGCATCTCGCTCCTTCATTAACACCCACCTCCTTTTCCCTCCCCCCCAAGGTGTCCAGCCAAACCCCTCTCCCCTTTGCTGTCCTCACCCACTGGCAGAGGCTGCCCAGGCACCTCCCTTACAGGCACTGATACACGGCTTCTACACCCGCAGACTTTAAAAAAGTTAATTTTTAATATTAATCATTGCTAATGAGAGACATCACCCTTCCAGTTCTCTGACACCATCACCAGCAGTTTTACCACCTGCATGTCTTATCCTACTGCAAAGATTTCCTCTGAACTTCAGCTCTTCATTGCCCTCCCACCATTTTTCTCTTCCTTTGGCTATTGCTTATTAATTTTCTGCATAATGCTCATTTTGAGTTGATTGCTCAACTCAAAACTGTTTCCCTTTTATTTTATATTACTTTAAATCTAATATTTCCCTTCGTTTCATCACTGAAACCTGATGGAAACAAAACTCAGAAAAAAGTTTTAAAGCCCTGCTGGATATGTTAACAGGGTTGAGCTTGTGCTGCATTTGTGAAGAGTCCACAGGGAACACAAGAGCCAGCCTTTTACCAGAAATAAACCCGCTGCAGTGAGGCAGCAGCCAAAAGCTGGAGACACAGAGGAGCTGGTGACAGGACTCCAGACTGAGGAGCACAGAGGAAGGAGCAGGTTTGAGGGCAGAGGCAGCAGGACGGAGAGCGGTACCCAGGCGGGAGAAGCCACACAGCAAGGCTGGGCCAGGGATGCTTGTGGCCCCGTGGCCAAGACAGGCAGCCCGGGGTGAGTGAGAATAGAAGGGCCACGGGAAGAGAAACTGAGATGGAAAATAAAGAGACAGCAGAGGGAAAAAGCCATGTAAAGATATTGGGTTGAGCAGCAGTTCCATTGCCAAGGAGCACAGATGGGGATGGGTGGGATTGAACCAAAGGGCTGAGGGGAAGGGAGAGAGATTTGACAGCCCAGGCAGAACAAATCAGAAAAGAAACTGCGCAGAGGCGGCTGCAGCCCTCACAGAAAGAACTGAGGCAAAAATTCCTGGCTCCACTCACACTTGTGTGTGGCCTCCCGGAGCCATCAGACACTGCAGCTTCAGCTGGAGGTGACTCCCCACATGGGACCCTCGGGGCAGGACGGGGCATCAGAGGCAGGACATCAGGGATTCAATCCTGGTGCACACCTGGGTCACACCCCCCCACCATTCTTTAAGTTCAACTTTTAAAAACCTAATTGTACGTCTCTTAAGAGAACTGGAGCTGTCAGTGTCCGGGGTCAGGCGGCATTACCCACCCCCGGGCAGCCCCAGCCCCCCCAGGAGCACCCATGGGGGCACCCGGGGCTCGCCGGCCCCTCGCCACCAGCAGCAAACTCCCCACAGCCCTCACAACGTGTGAGAGTCCCTGCACGCGGGCAACGTGTGTGGGAATGTGGCCACCTCAAACATGAGGGGCTTCAAGAGGCTTTTCTAATCTTGTGACTTCATCCAACGAAGAAAAAGATTTGATTAAAAAAAAAAAAAGAAGTACAGCTAAACCAGGAACAATTCTTCACTCTGGGCTGTTCCTCAGTTCTTCAGAGGCACTTCAAAATCTTGACAAAAGATACCACAAACTCGGAACTTATTAAATAAGAATGAAATGTACCAATGCAGAAACAGAAACATCAGATGTATAATCTCAACTTGTAGTATGGGGCTTCAAGTAGTTCTTCTTAATTCATTTGTTTTCTTAACTTTTGTTTTGCCATCTGGAGAAGACCATTTTCTAATGACAGATCACAGGAGGAAAGATCCAAAGTTCAAGTTTGCTTCAAGGAAAAGCAGCCTTGTTTGTGCACTCACAGCTCCCTCCTGGAGCTCCCACTCGCGGAGGCTTCAGGACAAACTGTGGCCAGGAGCAGGAGGGAAAAGAGAGCTTCATGGAAGTTCAGTGAAGTTTTACTCCTCAAAGTGCAAATGTGAAAGCAGTTCTGTAACAGGAGGTGAGGGCACAGGAAATGGTGGAACAAATGAGAGGTGTATCGCCATTCTGGAGGTGTGCGTGCCTGTGTATCAGAATATTCTCTGTACGGGATTCCTGCTGGCTCTTACTTGTGTTAATTTAAAACACAATCTATATTTACCCAGTAAAAAAAAAAAAAAAATCAACCCATGAATACACCAAATTTTATAGTTAAGCAGATTTGAGTAGTGGAAACACAGAACTACTTTGTCCTCTGAAGCTAATCAAAATAGAAGTGAGTAATGTCCCTGCTGCACAGACACCCGCCAGGCACAGCCGCTCAGCGCGGGGGCTGGCAGCACAATGTGAAGAAATCTTCATTGGACACAGCCAAAGGATCAGCATCGCCCTGCTTGAACAATAAATCCCACTATCTGTCTAACTCTAACAGGTTATTTATACTAGCATTGCATCCCACTGCCATCTTATCATCAAGTAAATCGAGAGAACAGCGAGGTTTAACCACAACACGAGCAACCTGGCTCAGTACTTGCTTTTCTTTCCAAAATGCCTAAACATTGCTTTATACAAATATTTTCTGATCAGTAAATTAGATCTGTAGACATGTATCTGATCACAAGGAACAGAAACCTCAAAATACAGCACTGAACTAGTCTCACTCCTGTACAGATTGCTTTCTTCTTTTTATATTAGTGTTTCTGTCTCAAAAAAAGAGATCTGAACCGTGTTCACTGACATTCATCCCCATCCCTCCCACTGGCTCCCCCGGGACACGAGGGCCGGGTGCCACCCGAGCAGCTCCAGCCCCGCTGTGACGTCCCACCGCAGCTCCCCCGCAGCCACCCCAAACACGACCTTCAGAGAGCTCCTCTCACAGGTTCTTTAATTTCAACTAGAGGGATTCTTGGTTGTTTTTTCTCAGTGTTTTATATAGAAAACAGAACTCAGGACACGGCATTTCAGAACATCACTGAAAGCAAGAGAAGTATACTTTCCAAAACCAGACAACTACAGTTAAGTCACTATCGTGCCCAAGAATTAAGGAGTGTTCCAATTAAGAGCTGACAGTGTCATACACATTTTCCAGAGAAAAGGGATGGCAGAGTTTTCCTTCATTAGGCAACTGCAACACCAAGTATCTTAAGACATTAATGATCTGTGTTTGTGTGCACACCACTGTGTAAATATGCAAAGTCAAGACTGTAACAAGAATTGTGAGTTTACATGTGCAGCGAAGAGAAACCCTTTATCCTTTATTGGTGAGAAGAAACTCAAGCGATTTCCAAAGTGAGATTCCAACTTTATCCCACTGACAAGCATTTCAGGAGAAAAAAGTAACATGGAATACCACCATCAAGCTATTACAATTCTTATTTTTAGACAATTCCACTGTGGTACATCAACCCCCCTCACACGAGACAGGGCTCTATCCTGCTCCTTGCTCCCCAAGGCCACCCCACAGCGGCTGGAGGGGCAGCTCCCAGCCCACACATGCCACTGCTAGAGCCTTGAGGCACAGCCACCACCGCAGAGCAATGGTGAGCATTCATGCACTGAGTATGTGCTTTAGGGTGTGGGGAACTACATGGGAACAGTAGAAACCATCCTCCATTCATCTCCCAGTACTAGACTTCAAGCCATTTCAGATACCTGTTTCTACCAAATTTGCCCCAAGTGCAGCCAGGATAGTAAAGCTCCGCAGCTGAGGTTACCTGAGCAGCCTCTGCTGCCTTCACAAACACCAACAGTGAACAAATAGGCAGGGGCGTATCTTAAAAGAACAGCAGGGACAATAATTAAATAAAGAAATAACTTGAGTTGTACTATCATGTATCAATTACAGTTTTCTAATATCTGGTGTTGTGTGAGGACACCAAACAATAACCTTATTTAGAAACTGTATGTTTCATGCACAATTTCCAAAGATATATAATGCCCTCCAGAATAATTCACTTTCTATGAACACTTAACAAAAACATTTGCTCTGGTGTCATCGCCTAAGGAACAACTTAAAAAAGATCCAGGTGGCTTAAGAACATCCATCCAATATATTTTTGCGATGTATCTACAGACTGGCCTTTTAGGAACCTTGGGAAAAAAAAACAACCCTAGTTTTCTTTCTGCTGCATATAAAGGGCTCTGGTCAACCAGACAGGTAATAAGGATTCCACCCATCAGTCATTTTCTTTTAGGCTCAGGAAAAGCAAAGCATTATCCAGAAAATTAAGTGCTATCGTCTGTTCAGGCCGTTGACAGAAATGATTAGGAAAGACCTCAGAATTTTTTTAAGTTCCAAAATCTAAGTAGTTAATTTAAGAGCCTTGTTGAGGGCTGGTGGTGTGGGTCAGCCCCCCCAGACCATAGCTGTGACCAGCAGATCCTTAACCAGGGTCCTTCTTGTTGGGTGTCTTTAGTCAAGCACTTGTGAGGCATCAAGCGGAGCATGAGTGTGTTTCTGGGGCCTCTGTAACCCTGGAGTGAAACAGCAAAAATGGCTTTGCTCGCAAATGACTTTGAGCCCCAAGCTGTCCCAGAGCATGGAGAAGTGACCAGTGAACATGGGGAGGGGACATTCTGCTGGAACCCCCTTCACCCAGCGGCTGCCTGAGCCAAGGTGCCCTGTGGTACATAACTCTGTGTAAAACTCGCCCAAAAAATCATTGCAGACACACTCCCAAGAGACCCTTTAAAGCTTCCATCCTCCCCCTTTACCTTTAAAGACAGCAATTTTTTTTTAAAACAAACTTTTTTGGAGTTGCTTTTCAGGGCACTCAAAAAAAGTTAATTTTTTTTTTTTAAAGCAAATAAGGAATTTAGCTCTTCTGAGAACTCTTTTTTAGTGAAATCAAGATGTTTACAGCCTCTTAAAAAAACAGTGCATAGACTTTACTGAGGGAGACTGAGCTTTCTCAATTATATTCTTCAAAGCCACGAACACTAAATTTTGCAACATCACTTACGACCTTATCTTTTTGAAAAGGTTCTTTTAGAATGTTTCATGTAAAAGGTTTCTTTAGTTTCTACTGCCCAGAAGCCCCCTCTGTGAGGCTGAACTCTCTGCCTCTCCCTTCCCAGCTCATCCCCCACCTTCCCTGCCCTCCACAGGCACTGTCACTGCTTTGTCACCTCCACCCTGACAGACAATGCACAGCACTTTAAAATGCTAAAGATTCACCTCTCATTTTTGTTGGATCTTCCAGAAGTACTTCAAGAGTTGTGTTCATAAGCTGAACACACCGGTTCAGATTTTTTTCTTCTCCAATTTTCTTATTAAACCTCAGATAAAATTTTGCTTCTCCTGGGGGCGCTTGCAAAGCGGGAGACCCTGGAGGGCATGGTGGGAGAAGCAGAAGGGCCGGCGAGCGCAGCAGGCGGGCTGCAGTCCCAGCGCCTTTCTCCAGAAATCACAGCAGTAACAAAGGAATTAAAGACATTCCATAATCCTGAAAGCTCTTACAAAAAATTTCTGCCACTGACAGGTTCTAGACCCACCACCTCAGAATATTCAGGAATTTACCTGCTCAAAAGTGATTTCAGCTACTGAAACTCAGTATGTTAAAACACATTGAGTTTATGTAATTTCTACTGAAAGTATACGTAGAAACAGAATTAACCTTACTCTTCCTTTCAATATGTGATCAAGCATGTTACCTGCCAGACCCAACCGTGCTGGGAAGCGGGGGGTTCCCTCGTCCCTTGGCAGCCAGCGCAGTCACCTCCAGCAGCACTCGGAGTGTCAGGCTCACCATGGGTTGGTTCGCATTGATTTTAAAATTAGGCTGGAAAAAAAAATCATCCTCAAAGAAGGCCACAAGTTTCCTTATGCCATAAACTAACTAAATTGACAGAGAATGCTGTTTCCTCCTCCCCTCTAAAACTGTGAGTACATGACAAAAGTAACAAAGGAAACATTAATTTGGGGGCTTTATTTAATTTTTCTTTTCTTTTTTTTTTTTCTTTTTTAAGATGCTACATAGTCAAACAGGATTGGTCTTTTACGGCATAGGACTAGTTTACTACTAATATTTTTTTCCCCTAGATAGACTTATTTACATACAAAAACAGTTTCCTGACCACTGTTTCTCCAATGCTCAGATGATCAAAACTCCCAACAATTGTGTAGTGCCCAAAACACCAGGAGGCAAAAGAATCGCGCATTACTACAGCAGCAAATTTTTAGTTCTAGTCACTGGCTTTAAACAGGTGCCTTTTCGTACCTTATAGTATTAGTCAATTTTGTGACAATAAGGAAACATGAGATGAAATACATTAAATAAGTTAAATATGCATTAAACATCTCTGAATAACACTTTAATTCAACTAAATGAACCAACAGCAATGTAGCTTGGTCCCCTCAAGAGAACACGGCGTTGACCTCTATTCCAAACGAGCGTCACACCAGTCAATATATGCCTCGATGATGCCCAGCACATTCAGCATTGCCACAGACAATTCTTTTCAGCTTCTCACTATTCATTTAAGTGCCAAGAAATTGGTAACTTGCACAAAGTTGAAGACACTGACAGAAACTGTTAAATTTATGAGAATGGTGGATTAACGTATTTTACAGAAGTTATCAACACCTCCTGCCTAACCCAGCTCCAAACATCCAATAGGGCCAGCTCCAGCAGTGGAGGATAGTTCTTTCTACTTTTTCTGTTTCTTTTTCTTTTTTTTTTTTTTCTTTTTTAAAAGAGGTAATCCAGCAACATGTAGCAGGGTCTAAGAATGTTTAAAATGACATATACAATATTCCATTGTAGTGTTAAATCATGATTTTCTCCCCCCTTCCATCACTGAAGAATATTCATTCATTCACTCATTGTACATTTTAAACTTTCTAGATTATGTTACATAGTATTTGTGCAGGGGTAATTTAAAGGCAAGACCTGTGAGATGTCATACATTAATTTTCTTTTAAACATTGTTATGAATAAATTTAATCCAATGATATGGCAGAACCATCAAACCAATTTACAATTTCCAGCATGCTGCCTCTACAAGGCTATTTTTCCTATAATTACGCCGAAGACAAAGAACAAAACCACCAAAGCGAGTAGTCTGGAGCTGAGCCCTTCGTCCTTGACAGCAGCTGCAGAAGCAGATATTGGGTTGTTTGTCTGGGGCGCCTTCCTCATCCGCAGTCCATCTTCTTCCTAAAGGAAGATATATCGATTATTTCTACTGAAAAGAGTTTTAAATATTCACCCTTATCATATTTATTTTAGATGGACATAATAAAACAGGTGAAAGCTAATTTACAGCTCTATTTCTGGAAGCATTCAAGGCCAGGTTGGAGGGGGCTCTGAGCAGCCTCGTCTGGTGGGAGGTGTCCCTGGGGACTGGGGGGGCCTTAAGGTCCCTTCCAACCCAAATCCTCCTGCGATTCCCAGATAACCCTGAGGAGGGAAGGGCAGTGAGGCAGGAAAGGGGTTATTGATCTACTTGACCAGCAGAGCACAAAACACACCCAGGAGTTTTCTCCCGGTGCCGAAGGTGGCAGGAAGCCAGGAGGAAGCCTGCAAGAACCCAGCCAGAGTCTGGAGACAGCTCCTGAGCTCCAAACCCCATGATAGAGGGAACAGCAGGAAGATGCTTTTCTTGCTCTGAAAGCAAATACAGGGCTGTTGGGGAAAATGCTTTCCAACGTAACTAAGATACGCTGTGAAAAACCTGCAACTTGAGGGCAATTATACTCTTCATTCCCCTAGTTAGATGTCACAAGCAAATTCTACCAGCATTTGAAAGGAAATCTGTTTCCTACATCACATTAGTGCTGACATTTCAACATGAAACTAACAGCAATAATTAGGATATTCTCTTGGTATGAGTTTGATGGCTCTCTTAATTTAAAGGTGTATGAGACAGCAGATAAAACAACATCGTAACCCCAGATACCCCCACGTCAAGCGGAGCCAACGCTCCCCACACCCCGACCCGAGCTGCCGTGAGCACAGCCGTGTGTTAGTGCACCCCTTCACACACCCCCAGCACAGAGTGAGCACTTTGTGACACAACCCGTATGCAGCGAAACCAGCAGCATTACACTTGATGTGATGTAGTATTGCAGTGCAAAAGTATAAGATACTGAAGCAAGAGCCTCCAGTCCATATGTTAAAAAAAAAAAAAACATTCAAAAATAAAATTGTACTTAAAGTTACTGCAGCCTTAAAAACTGTCAGAAAAGTGAAATTCCAAAGGCTTAGCATATGTAAGTGTCACTTTTGACTGTATAGGGGCATCTAAGGTTCTGGAGGAAGGCCTTATTTATTTTTTGTTATTTATTTATTGAAAGTCATTGACTACCTGATACCTCACTACTACTCTAAGTCTGGATAGGGACAATGACTTTTACAAACAATGAAATGTTTTTTACCTATATAGGAATTTTACTGCTACAAACACATTTTGTCACACCTTTTGTCAGTGACCCTAGCCTGGCACTGACAGCACCTGGGGGCTGGCAGTAATTTAACATTGATTTCTGATGTTTTGCAGGTGCTTCTAGCATTCCACAGAGGGAACAAACAGCTCACCGCTTTAAGATTTTACTCTAAGACATCAGCTCAGTTCTAGGCATCTCCTATTCAAGACTGATTTGCAATAAACTAAAACAAAATAATATAGTATTTCAAGTATTGTGAGAGACTGGTAAAACAAGAGCACAAGGAGAAGTCAAGGTCATGCCTCAGCCCTATCCATATATTATTTCTATATGCAAAACAATACTGGGTTATAAACGTTTAAAGAATTTCCTCATGCATCAGGCAGCCAACCAGCATCAGAGCTGGCAGAATGCAGTTACTTTCATTGGGCTCTAACAGCCACAAACTCTGAGTTTTCATTGGTCCTGTTATCTATGAACTAGACATTTCCAACAACCGTAAAAGGAGTTTTTCAGCATGGTGATAAAAGCTTCTCGATTTCACAGGGATGTCCTGGATATGACAGGAAGCATATCTCCTATTCATCTGTCTTTGGTCATTTCAACTGCATATAATAGGTATAATTACTGAAACACTAAGTATTTGCACAACACTGCCCTCAAGCTCCCACCAGTTTGCAAGAACAGGGCCAAATGCAACACTGAATGCTTAATTCAGACTGAGAAAATTAGGTGGGAAAATTAAAAAAAAACAAAAACAAAAATCAGAGAGAGAATTCATTACTTTGGGTTGCTATCCAACCAGTTCCTCAGACTACATGACTTGTACGCTCCTTTCAAACAAAGCCCTGATTTTAACACTTTTTCTCAGTTTACAGAGAGAAGCCTAAATTATCTCTTAATTTACAGACAATAATAAAATATTGCCCCAAGGACAAGTAACCAAACCTTTAAGTCAGAAGCTTCTTTTTCAGGAAAGGGGTAAATCTGAAAAAAAAAAACCAAAAAGCACCTTTACCTTAAACTGTTTATTCTCCTCCCGTAACCTCTGAACTTCTACTTGAAGCCTCTTATAGTCTTCCATTACTTTCTTAACTTCAGTGTCATCCAAAGAAGAACTTATTGATTTAGACATTACAGAGGAATCTGTCTTTGTTGCAGTTGTGGATACAATTTTATTTATTTCTATGTCATGCTGTTAAAAAAGGACAGAGTGATTTTTGGTTAGTTATTAACAACACACCACACACCTGATATTTAGGAGAAGAATCAAGTAAAATTGTCTGTGCACACCTGAAACGTGCCTGTGTCAAGAGAAATAAACAACATTTTTCTTCCTGTAACCTTTACTTCCTTTCCTGTTTCACAGATGAGCAGCAGCAATAAGTGCAGACAGAACGACCTCGACCTTTCAGTCCCTGCGTACGCGGAACAGGAAACATCCTCAGACCATGTCTGAGAGCAGGGATGGAACACATGTGCTGACAGTCTGCTTATGGAGTATTACTGCTCTCTGCCCCTTTCCTCCACAAGCACAACACACACAGGTGCTCCGCTTCTCCATGTGGCACTGCTCACTGCCATTAGACATTAATCAGTGCTTCCATTAGCCTCCCCAGAAAGGATCCTACATCATCATTGCTGCTCATCACAACATAATCCCTGAACGCACTCCCATCTTCCGTACTAACTTCCTACAATGTACTTGCTGAAATCAGTATCATACCAAGGACCAAAGGGGAGGGTTGGACAAATTGACCTTGCTGATAACTGCTTCAGCATAAACTCTAAACTTCATGACTAATCAGAATCTTTCAAATTTTTTTACATATTCTTTATCCTATGTGATCTTTCATTCAATAAAAATAGATCAACTCAAAGATTTCTTTGCATTCCTATTGTACTTACATTGTTCAAATTAGCTGCTAGTTACACTAAGCATCACAAAGATTTGAAATAGTTTTGTATTTTCAAAGGCTGATGCCATCCAGGCAGTGAAATAGCGGCTTCTGTCTTTTGCTTTATAGCTGTCTGTGTAAACATGCCATTTTACATCATTAACTGTGGTATTAAGTTAAAACACTCATTATGCATCTGAAAATACTCACAGGCTTATCATTTTCCGCTGGTAGCTCAAACACACACCTAAGTTTCGAATCCATGAGTTCTTCTGGTTTTGCTTCTTTCCACTGGAATAATTTAACATTAATTTACTATTAAACATATTAGTATACTAAGACAGATGGAAAATGCACTAAATTATGTAAACAAATACATCACCTTATTCAGGGAAAACCCCACAGGTGTTTATCATGTTACCATTAACCACAGACATGATGAATATACAACTGAGTGGTATCATAAAGATACTATGACCAGATACTACGAAGGAAATTAATTCTAAACAATCTGAAATTTACACAGATAATTTTTGAGAGAGCTGGGAATTGTGTAAGAGTTAATTAGCATAGATAGGGGGAGCTATGGTCCTGATCAATAAACAAAACAAGAAGCCCCCCACAAACCTGGAGGATGCATTCAAAGGAAAGGAAAGGTAACAAAACCCCCAATCAGTAGCAATGGTCATTGTGTTTGTTCAGCAGAGTTCCTGTTCAAGCTTTTTAAGTTTCACGTGAGATTTTCTTGCTATCTGGTATGAATTATAGGACTGTTCTTACCCCCCCCCTTGTTTTCCACCTCCTTATTTTTCAGCATCAGTCTCTAAACAATAACAGATGCGCTACATAGCAGGAGGAGTAATTTGGTAACTTCCCCTCTCATCCTTCTCTCCCCTTCCACTAGGGAGTCTACTGTAATAAAGCTTCCTTCCAATATTCGTACTAGGGATTAACAGTTATAAATCCCTGCTGGCTATCAGCTGTAACCCTGAACTGAACAGATTGATTCATTGCTGTGACACGCAGCAAGAAGCGTCCACGCTGATGTGGCGGAGCTCTCACACACTGCCCTGCTCTCCCCCTGCAGCTGGGGCAGCACGGCATCACCCAGCACAGACCGAGTAGGTGCCAAGGTATGGGGAGCCCTCTGCAACCCAAGGAAGCATCTGACTCATCCGGAACAGCCGGGCTGGGCTTCAGCTCGCCCTGCTGGGAGTCAGAGTTCTATTTCAGGCTTGTTGGCTGGCTGTGAAGTGCTGAAAGCTTTATAGTACCCCAGTAATTTGTCTCACCTGTTTATCCCAAATAGGAAGGGATTTGGAGAGCAGTAACAAAACTGAGAACTGACTAAGTGTTATAGGAAAATAAATGGTATTGGTCTGGAGAGCTCTGGAAAACTGCAAGGGCCATCTACATCCTAAACAACGTTCTCTGCTAGCAGAATAACATTTTTCATAGTATAAAGTAACTCATAAAAATTAAAGAGTTAGAAAGAAAGGCAGACTGGCTTATCTTTCTAGAGATGCAGACATTTTATTACTCTTGCTGTTTCTTCCACTGATCTTATTTTGAGGCCATTAAACAAACATGGTTCCATAAACCTTTTTCAGAAGGGAAATTCTTAACTCTGAAGAGCACTGCAGCTTTAAAAAGCTATTCAGAAGATGCATTGTGTAAAGACAACTTTAAAAAGCCACTCTGAGGTTTTTTGGTTTGGTTTTGTTTTGTTTTTAAGTAATACACATACATACAAACACACCCAAGCTGCACACTTAAGACTAATGGCCACTTTTTCTTTTTCTGTGTCCTCAATAGCTACTGAGTATTCTCTCAAGCCAACAAAAGCTAGAGCAGAGAAAGCTTCCTTGTGCCTTCCTGCAGTAGCAAATCTTGCTGTTGTAGGAAAGCCACCAGCTGACACATTAGTTTGCTCCTTTCCAAGTTGTCTTAACGTAGCCTGACATCTAATTTCTATGTTTTTTGTCCATCTCTGCTTCAGCACCTACATGCTTCTGTTACTCTCATTTGTAATCCACAGGACAAGACCTACGAGGGCCTTTCATTTCCCTAAGCCACAAGAGGCACAGGTAGGGATAAAGAAAAATACAATAGCTGTAAATTATCCTCCTGGATGCTGCCAGGAAAAGGAGATGCTCAAGGGAAACTCAAGGCAGAGTACGTGGCACAAAATACAAAAGATGCCATAAAGCTCTAATATATTCTATACATTATTAGAACATATAGTTCAAGTTGGCCTATTTAAAAAGTGATCTACTGAAAAAATTACAACTCCTTAACATTTGTTTCATGGCTTAGTATCCCATTACCCAGAGCAGTGTCCTAAAGAAGCAACCGCGGATACCAACTAAGTCTTCTGCACTGTATCTTTCAGTGCAAGGTTCCAGGGGCTCAAAATAAATAGAAAAAACCTCACCATGCACAGAGATGGAAGTCTACATTCGAGCATGGTTTCACAACAGTCCTTAAGCAAAACAGTAAGAAGTCTTATAAAGTTATACAATTGGAAAGAAATCCATTTTAATTAATTTCAATACTTACTACTGCTTCCATATCTGAAGTATCAGCTGGAGCAAACATAGACTGAACCATAAACTTGTGTTTACTTTTCTCATTAGGGTCATAGTCAAACGGCTGTAGCATCACTGCAAGAAGAATCCCAAAACATTATGTTAACATTGCTCTGGTGCATACTTACGCACTCATGATGTAGTTACGATTTGAGAAATACAAACACAATTGCTTCTCTTCTCTACGAAGAGAAGCAATTCAAGAATTAAGATTACTTTCAAGTACTAGTACTATTAACATTATATGCCCAAAATTCATGTGCACTAATTGCATGGCTTTGTTGTATAAAAGTGATAACCAAAGATCACATTTATTGCAAATGAAGGCAAGTCAAACCAATTTGCCTCCTTCAATGAGCAGAGTGTGTTACGGCTGTGCCATCTTTATTACACACACAATATGAGGCTCTCAACAACCACGTGCCCTTTAAAGCTGGAAGAAGGGGAAGACAGCAACTTGTCTCAAAGTGCTTTAAAAATTATCGTACATTTTCAACTCACCTTGCAGTAACCAAATACCAGTCCAAAATAAATGTTTGCAAATTAACAAGTTACTTTTAAAACTGTTTTTCCAAACAGAAGTGACTGCACTGTGAAAGTACATAGATTTCAGAATAGCATGATACATGACTGAAAAGCATCATCATCATTTTTTCTCCCCTGTAGTAGACACCTCACTTATTCCAAGTCAATATAATGTATAAGATCCAACTGGGCAGTCAAAACTGTCCACTGTTTATGGAACTTCTCCATATCTGCAGTTTTTTCAGTTTGCTTTGCTAAGTGCAGCTATAAGCTCACTGGAAAAAAGCCATTATTTCCCCAGTGATAGTGCTGAAGCCAAACGGCTGCTGCTCTGAATTCCACTCACTGCATCGTAAGAGCAAGCAGCTACAGAGGGCTCGGCAGCACAAATGTTGTTAGCACTTGTATTTTTAGATCAATACATGAAAGCCACATTGACACAAATTATTCAGCAAATGTCTTGTAAGCCAGATGGAAGCTCAAAAAGATATACTTGTTCAAGAGGAAACCAGACCATTTCATCATTTATTCACATACTATTGGGGGTTTCTGTGAAAGACCAGTTCCATGTAACTGCCCTAATTGCTGGAGGATTTGCTACTGTGAATACGGTCCCCTCATTTTGACCAGAAATTCCATACCTTCTGCAGGAACTATGCGAAAAGCATATGTTCCTACAAAATGCCTTATCAAATTGGTCATCTCATCTGGTCAAAAGTTTCCAACCAGTTTTCATCAGAACCCAGAGTTCTAAGAAACCAAAGGATTACCACAAGCTTTAAGCGTCCTATCACCAGTCTGTTAGGCGGAGGTGCCTCCTTCCACCACGCTCTGGACTGGTCACCCCACAGCTGAAGCACCAGAAGCAAAAACTGCAAAGTCACTGACAGGTCCATAGAACGAGGAGTAGCACAATTTGCACTTGTTAGCCCACCCGTCTCTCTCAAAATTCAAACACAAAGGACCGATCTGATGTACACCCTGTTCCAAAGCGTTTCCAAAGAAATGGGTACTAGTTTTCCCACACATCCCTGCTGCAGCTCCCATATGCTACGCAAGGTCCTCTGTAGATAGCAAAGGAGAGGTGGTGACCACCTGAAATGCTCTCTTTTTCATAAACAGCTCACTGTCAACATTAGTAACAATGACAGCAGCACTAAACTCTTCTGGTTTTCACTGCAGTAAACCTGTTTTCTCAAGGAACAGAGGACATGTGAAGCCAAGAACACGGAAGGAGGCACAACTCCACCCGTACCACCTGCAAGGATCTAGCAGGCCCTCCAAGACCAGAGGGAACAGAACAGTCTCTCTGCTCAGACCATCAACAACCTTCCTCTAGTTCCATGCACTTTTATTAATGGTCTGTTTACTTGGTCCTGAACCAACGCTGCCCTTACACTTAAATATCAAAGGGGAAGAGCCATTTACTCCTGGTGCGCTCCAAGACATCAATCACAGCAGCTCCTGGCTTTCTGGTGAGCTCAAGGAGCCAGAGTGGGCGGTGCTGTGTGGGCTCCCCATTCATCCCCTGCACCTCTCCTGGCCCCAGGCCTCTGCAGGAGCTGCTCTGAGTGTTCGCCCAGGGTGTTCACTAGAGCCTCAGACAACAGCACTCACACTGACCTCCCCCATTACCCACACTGTTTCCATGTACCACATTTGCCTTACTCACAGCCACATTACAGCAGCGCATCGGTCACCCTCCATTTAACCAGCCTGCAATTATAGCAGGACTATTTTATTCTCCAAAGTATGTGATGTTGCAGTTTTTCCTTTTAAACTCATCCCGTTTCTCTTACTGTAGTTTTCAAGGACACCCAGTTCTGCTGCATATCTTCAGCCTCCCAACATCATCAGGGTTTTTAGCATACTCTTTGTGCCAGAATTGCTTATAAAAGCATTAAACAAGATTAGTACCAAGAACCATTCTCAAGAAACATCACTAGTAACTTCCTGCTATTATGTTTCCATCCACACCACCACTGTTTACTCTTAAGTAGCCTATTCAATAGCCTCTGAATCTATTTTTCTTTTCTAGCTTTATTGATAATTTTCTAAATGGCACTGCATGAAATTCTTTATGGTCTGGATAGATCAGATCTACCGCACTTAGGTCACCTTTAGATCAAATGCCTCAACCAGCTACAGAGGCGAGCCTCAGATGGCTGCACACCTTGCCAGAGGTGAGCAGAGGACACTCGCACCTCCACAGACAGGCAGGACCCCTGCATCACCCCACGTTTGTTCCGTGTTTACATAGTTCTCCCTGTAAATATTTCAGTAATACCACAAAACGCTGAATCTGTGGAGATCCAGATAGATCCTTTTAAAGCAAGTGGACAAAGGCAGACCCAGGCCTGGTGCTCTCTAACAGCCCCAGAGGCTGGGGACTGTGCTCGAGACAGCCCATGCTGCCCCGGAGCTGGGGACAGGACTCAGTCGGCATCTTGGCCAAAGAGAAGAGACACACAGTGACCAGAGCAGAGAGTGGCTGCAGGAGCACCTCCTGGGGGCCACGCAGACTGCCCTTCCACAGCCAGGCAAGATTACAACAGACTAAAAATCCCCCCAAGGACATTCAACAGCAACTGATGACAATGCCAGCTCCTCCCCATTCTCAGGAAGCATCTTGATCGGGCCAGTGTGCACAGATGACACCACCTGTACCGCCTCTGCCCCCGACAGACACCTATCTGCCATCAACCCCCAAATTCAGTTCCATCCAGGGTTTAAAGGAGCTACCAGGAACGCAGTATATACAGCTCTATTCAAGAGAAATTCAACCACAGCACAAGATACAGACAGTTTCAGTTTAGAAAGTTTTAGGAAATAAATAATTAACATTTATAACCCCAGAATTCTGTCACATATCTACCTAGAAATTCACCTTAATACATTACCTAAAGAACAACTAACACATACAGCTTGCATTTTAAAGTATAGTGTTAATATAAGGACTGGCAATTTTGGATCGTTATTTATTATTACCAAGTTATCAGCATGAAAATATGTAAACACAAATGTGAGCTTGTGACTAAATATACCACAGCCTTTTGCAAAACTAACTGAATCATAAAGCACTATAAATCTATCAGGAAAGGGAAAATTTTCAAAGCTATAAAAGCGCAAACAAAGCACAGCTTTGGGTTAGCACAGCAATCTCCCATAATGGGACTCTGAGCCATGCTTTGGACTAGATCCATGTTCTGTCTGGTACACCTCTGGGAAGTCAGGCTGGAAAAGTGAGGTGTTGGGGTGCTGGTATGTAACGTACCGTGGCTCATACATTGCTTGCCTATGCTACATGCTGCTCGAGGCAGGGTGGAAGGTCACTGTAATCAGAGGTTTAACACTCAATGTTGAGATTAAGACGACATTTAAAAGAGCATGGGATGTGCCAGCAAAGGAAAAGGGCTTTTAATTTTCAAAGTTCATCTGAAAGATGAAAAGAATCCACATCTTTATAGCATGAAGATAATTTGTAGCTAGGAACCATGCTAATTTTCATTATCACTTCATTGATTTCTATGCATTTAATATGCTTGCCTGCAGCTAGTACAGATGACAGACAGCTTTACTTGGGAATTGTCCTGAGTTTTAAAAATCTCCATTTCTCTCTAGAGAGCGTTTTCATTTACATACTAGTCACTTCAGTGCTTACTGGACTGTGCTAGCCTTCTCCCGCAGCAGAAGTGCTCTGCCTGCCCCCCTGCTCTGGCCATCTCCTGCTGGGACACCCCGAGACTAATCGCAAGCGAGGCACAGCTCTGCCAGCGGGTGCACGCTCAACTTGCACATGAGAAATCCCAAAGACAACAGATCAACGGGTGTGCAAATGTAGGCACGCACAAGAAGATTTACAGGATTAGTCTCCTAATGTTGCAGTGCAAAGTATTTTTGGGATCAGTTTTTATTTTGTTGAAGCAAGCACTCCAAGGGTGACATGCTCAAATATTTTACATTTTATTAAGTAAAAACCTGAAGTCTTGATTTTTATACTTCGATTTATTTTTTTTTCCAAGTAAAAAGCAGCAGTTTTAGCTCCCAAAGTTTTTGATTCTGGGCTAGAAAAGTTTGGTAAGAGACTAATGACAAACTACATAATCTATCAGTAAGTAATTTTTCTTATTGTGCCAATATGAAAGTTTATTAAATAGTGAAACAAATCTGCATGTTTATAGAAATAATTTTCTTAACTAGAAACTCAGACTTCATTTAGGCAGTATGCCACTACTACTACATGCTTTGGTAGGATTCTTTACTAAAAACATGGACTGGAGAAGCCATTGAGAAAACACATTGCTTTCAAGCATGTATCATCAGCAAGTTAATAATACACAGACGTTCTGTTTAGGGAAAAGACTCAGCTCTTTATTCTTTCAAAGTAAGACACTCCTTTGCTTTTCCATTACCAAACTTAGGCAAGTCAAGAGCTACTGACTCACAAGAGAAAATCATTAACTTCTCCTATGGAACAGCAAAGATTTAGCCACTTGGCATTTCTAACAGCAGAGCATATTGCATCTTCAAGGAACACAAAATAAGCATGGTTTGAAAGAAAATGTTTTCATTATTGGTTATATTAGGCAGTTTGGCAACAGCCTCTGTCAGCCCAAACCAGCCCAGCTGCAGTCTGCCCAGTTTTACTCTTCCCTTGACATGCCCGACAAGCACTTGTGTGACCCTGTGCTGAGCTGGTTCAGGGAGTTAAGCTGGCAAAAACTAGCTGTACAAAAATAATCCCTCAGGGAGGGCAGGGCTGATTTGGACAGGCTGGCTAAGGCTGTCCCTGAGCTACATCAATCATTTCCTTGTTTCTCTCTTTTTTCTCCTCCTAAAACAAGTTGTGAAAAAAACCCTATTACTGCCAGAGCGGGAATAAGGGACGTAAGGATATATGAAATGGTGCTTCTCCATAAAATCACAACCTCTTGCTTTTACAAACATTCAACAAAATACTTTCAGATTGCAAAGCATTCCAAGAAATAATTGATTAGAAGAAGCTATTTCCAATCACCAAGAAACTGCTTGAGTGACTTACCAGAAACATTAATTGATGTTCCTGCATCGATAATTCCACTGTTAGGCCTTACACAGTATCTACGTGGTGCTGTGGTCTTAACTTTGAAGCACACGTTTCTGTCTGTGGGATTGCCCAGCTTCAGGTTTGTAGTGACAACATCTGTGAAAGGACCTGGGGAGGAAAGCAGAAGCAGACCTGAAATCACACAGAAAGCACTTTTCAAGCAGAGGCTAAGCAGGCTCTAATTCTCCGTTCACAAATCTTATAAAGTAATTAGATGTCCAATTTCCATCTCTGGCACGTACACGCAATCATGCACGCAAAGCTGCGGGTGCAGCGAGGCCTCCGAGCACTCCAACTGCAGCATGCTCCAGCACTCAGCTAAACAGCTGAAGTTGATCATTAATAGCAAAACAAAGAGGAGGAAATCATTTATACATGGTGCCAACACAACAACATGGCATTCCAGTGATGCCAAATTTTCCGCTGTATCTCAGTGACTCCATTCTAACCACTGCATCCCAGTGAACCCCAGCTTACAGGACACCATACACACTCCTGTTACAGACAGTCACTAGGGGAGCGCAGCACAGCACGTTAATTAGAGAGGGAACAATAACAAAGGGGCCACAACAGACCCTGTGTGCACAAGCTGTGCCTCCATGGCAGCGGGGTCCCACCTGGCATCCCAAAACGGACCCCAACCAGCAGGAGAAGCATTCCGTGCAAATCCCCTCTTCCTACCCAGTCTTGTCTTTTGTTTGTTTGTTTTAATAATTCTCTTGGCTACTAGAAACAATAAACTGGAAGAAATCTTTGTAAAACAGCCTACCTCACCCAAGACAGGAAATAATCATGTGGAAATAGGAAAATTCTTGGATGCTGATAGCACTAGCAAAGATTTCTGTATTAGCAAAGCCAGAATCAAACCACTGTCAAGTTCTGCAACCCCAAGTGCAGGCAAATCCATTCTTGCAGCTCACTACCTGAAACTGCCCAAGCCCCTCTGGCGAGGGGAAAGGCTCCTTAGTGATCTTCTACGAGACACTGACACATCAGACAGGTAGCACACAACTGCAGCGCTTGCTCAGATAGTAAAGAAGTAAAATTAAAAGAAATATAAACATAATTTCATCAACTTAGTCATAAAAGTAATTCATTTGATGCCTGAATAAAATATCTTAATCTGTCCTCAGGAGTAAAAGCAAATTGGTCAGTAAAAGTATCAAACCTTCTCTTGAAGAAATGATAGCCCAAAAATTTAACAAAGGTGAACGATGATAGTAATACTAAAAATATAAGTGAAACATATTAAGGCAGGATTCGCACTTCTAAAAAAAAAAAAAAAAGAGAAAAAATAAGGAACAATTTTTCTCTCATGTTTTTAAAGATCATGAGAAAAATGCCATCGGTGTCATCCCAAGAACAAAGTTATGGGAAACTCAGGATCTGTACATGCATCATCTGACATGAGGTTGTCAAGGGAGCAGGCTCTCTAGAAGGAAGAACGTAGTAAATTGAATTTGGTGGTGAAAGTTTGGAATATTCCACAAGGGCTCGATGAGTTTTTCCTGCCAGTTAGAATAAAGTTGACTTGTTTGAATGCAAACAGGGCACCTAGTGATAAGCAAACTAGCAGTACTACTTAAAAAGAGGAAACATCACCTCATACACTCATGCAACAACAAGCAGCAAGAGGTATCATAGCTTTTCACAGGGTCGCTTTCCAGCAGGGCTAGTTTCAAACTACAGCTGTGGCTTTCCACCCAGGAGCCACACACACAATGCTTCACACTGGAAGATCACAGCATTATCTCAGCATTTGCCACGCTCCATTTCCTATTCAAACTCCACAGCTGTATCAATCTTTCCTCAGAGTGCTATTCTGCAGCGGACTGCATTATAATATCCCACATCATTTTAGTAATAATACAAAAGCCTGAGAATTAGGTCAAATGAACATGATGTCAACCCCATTTAAATTTTAAATACCTCTCATTGCAATAAAAATTGCCCATAATTGTACCAGCAAATCCAAGCTGATAACTGTTTGATCAGCACAGCACTTGCTGTAAGTTTCTTGCCACTTGCTACTTTCAGTAACCATGTTATACAGCTACATTATTTGTACCGAATCTTAGTACAATTATTCTCATCTTAATGAAAATTCTGTGCTTTGGCATGGCAAAGAAACAATCCTGATACAGGTGCACCTGCAGCACAGGCGGTGGCACTTGTAGTGTTGGCACAGTTGTTGAAAGTAATTGAGGTTCATGCCTAATTTTTCTGTGCTTAAACCTAATGCAAATTCTCATCTGTTTAGAGCCAAGTATCCCCTAAAAAACTCAGTGAACTGGTGCCTCTCAGAGCAAAAGCACTGCAGGAGGATACAATTGTAGTCACATTAAACTGGCAATTGGCCATCAACAAGACCAGGAATAAACTCTCATCAGGCTGCCCATGTTAATCCCAGAACGTCTTAGAGGCACTTTCATCATCTTTCCCTAAACAATCTTTGCCACCCCAGCTCAGCACCACAGCACGGACCCAAAGGCAAGGACACTGCAAAACACAGAAATACAGGCAGAGCTTCTGGCGAGACATTGCATTTCCTTGTGGAAAGTAGCAGAATGCAACAACAGGAGGGAAGGACGTATTTCACCACAGCTTAATCCCATTGATGCATCAGATGAAAGTCATTAATCACCTGACATCAATCAGCCATAGAAAGTTAACCAAGGAATCTTTAATAAGGGAGATGGTGGACAGCAGCAGAGAGGAAACTTGAGTTGTTTCGTGGCTATTCCCAAGGGCCCAAATCCTACAGGTTGATGTGCCCTGACCAATGGATGTCCAGACAGAGCAGTGATCCATCCAGGGAAAGAGCCATGTGGACCCTTCAGGTGCAAGTGGAGGGCGGGGGTCCCTTCCCGTGGCCCCCCCAGGTGCAGAGTCCTGGCAGTGACACATTAGCACCACCAACAAACCACTGCAACCCACGGACACAGACGTTTCACCAGCAACATTCCAGCCCTTCTACTTATAACTTTTCTTATCATCATGAGTGGCTTCTCAGCAATTCCAATATGCCTCTGACAGTAATAACTGATTTCATTTTATTTCCATAATTTCTCCCATTTTATTTCTAGAGTTGTCTATCAGCAATAGATAGTCAAAATAAAAACACTAGCTATGAGCAAGAGGGCTCAAGGTTGTAGAACTTGACCTACTGTACTTTTTACTACAATAAACTATTTAAAGTTTATTATATCAAGTTGATGACCTTTGAAGATAAACAGTAAAATGGAAAAAAGCTGAAATGTCAAGCAAGACATCTTGAGCTATCAGCCAGGTGCCCATGAATCGAGAACACCCGAGATCCAATCAAACTCTCCCACCCTCTTACTTGTCTTCAGACAGATCACTGAAGGGCTTGATCTTCTGCTATTAAGAGCCTTAAGAGTTGATAGCAACTCCAAAACACAGGCAGGTTTGGACCCTTACAGTTTTCCTCTCTGTGAAGTCAGGAGAATACTTATCTAATTACAGAGAATCTTGTGAAGATTGGTGTTTTAAAAAGTACTTTATGCCAAGTTTTAATCATCATCATCTGGCTCTGGAGACATTCATAATTAATTGAGCATCTGTAACTTTTGAAATCATAAGAAGTCGAAGAATGAGTAACAAGAAGGGCCTGTGTTGCATAAACATCTGATTTCACAGGAAACTCACTGAGAGGACCCAACAACCCCAAATTTGGTAATTATTTTTAAGAAAAACCTTAGGCTTCTCTTAATCCTTGTGTAAATCACTTGTAAACCTTTCAATCTCAGCTCAGATTTTACATGGAATTAGCTAGAAACTCCTGCCCCCATGAAATCCATTTCTCTACTCTTACCATGACAATCCTCGCCCAATAGAGCCCTTGAAGCAAAGTGACAGAGGGAAGTGGTCATTTCCACTTCTGCTGTGTCAAGCAGTAGATGCCCTGATGAAAAACCTATTACAAAAATAGAGGTGCCATCCAAATCACTCCCCATGCAATAGCTGACGCAGCAGAGTCTTTTTTTTTTTAAATATGTAATCAATAAAATGACCTAAGAGAAGGGGGAAAAAAAAGGATGTAGAAAACCAACAAAATTACATGATGCAGGTGCCAAAGTTGGAGCAAGGTTGGCAATAAAATATTCCATTTGGACGGATTAATCAGTGTCCTTTGCTGGCCTATTTCAGCACAAACTATTTTTGCCAGAGTATGCCTCATGCTTAATGGGGAAAAAAAAATTGAGAAAAAACCAAATATGAGACTGAAGACTATTTTCAGGGTATCTATTAGTATGTAATTTTTGTCACCTTTTATTCCCCAGAGGATCATTAACAGTTTGACTTCACAGTTGTAAGAACTGTGAGGCCACCCATGAGCTTGCCAAGAGAGACGGAAGAATATGCCCTTCAAATAATTTTGGTACCAATGTCATTTGTTTTTTCCAACTGGTCTCTTCAGAGTTTTATTACACCCAAACATTACTAACAGTAATCTTCAGCAACAAAATCGCACAACACGAAATATTTTCTCTACATCCTAAATTTATACCGTTTTACACAAACAACTGCATAAACAGGAGACCGATAGCAGAGCTGGCGAGGTTTTAGAGGTGCGTCTCTCTTTCAGCTCTGCTTTCATCTCCTTTTAGAAACCAATGCCAAACATATCCTATTACTTTTTTCACTCCGCCCACAAATATCGCATGAACCAACTCTCTCCAGGTACGAAAGCAGCCTGGAAAATAGTTGTGTACTCTCTCTTGATAGGGGAACAGTAGTTACATCTCCTTCAATAAGCACCATATGGTAAGACCTACCTACAATCAGACACCTACTCCTTCCCCACGGCCAGCAGCCTCACTGGAGGTACTGGGGGGGCAGGGAAACAAAGCAGAGGCCCCCAGGGAGAGTGAGCACAGCACCATGTGCCAGCTTCTCCACAAAAACAGGGCCAGGGACCCAGGGCAAGGAAAAGCATCTCCCTGGAAGAACCACCCTGATCTTAATCTCCACCCCAAAGTACACTTCGTCTTGTACTTGTGAGGTAATTTTTCCTGGTCTAATTTCATCCCTAATTGCCATTTCAGATGCACGTTAAAATGGTAAGGAATTTTATGCTCATATATACTCTTCAAATAGACAAATTTGATGTGTAACTTAAAATATTTGCTCAATTGCTATTTAAGTGCAAAACTATGCCTAAATTGCAAACACCAGAAGAAGCAAGCAAAATTAGAGATCTTGGGATGCATAATGAGTACCTGCTTTTCTACTAAGTTGAAAAAAAAATAAATAGACAGTAAGTAACTAATGATAGCTACA